TTACTTGTTTTTGGGGTTTTCTTGGCAAAACCTCCACAGGGGCTTTGCCATGGCTTTTCTGAGGCTGAGAGAGTGTGCATGCATATATATATTTTTTTTAATTTTAATTTTTAAAATATTTATTTATTTATTTATTTATTTATTTATTTATTTATGTTTTGGTGCTTCGGCCCCCCAATTGTCTGAGGGACAGCAACCCGGCCCCTGGCTCAAAAAGCTTGCCTACCCCTGGTCTAAATAATACATTTAAACTTGGGTGTGCATATGTTAGCTAGAGGACCAGCTCTAGGCATTTACAAATCCATTAAGAATGGGTCTGGAAACCCAATCTCGTATCTTGTCCTTTTCCCTGGTCTGCCTTCACCTTTTCATGTGTTCTTGCTCACTCTCCATTGCCACACTTTAGGCTTTATCACATTTCAAAAGAAAGACAAAAGGCAGTGAAACAGAAGGGGCTTCTGGCTTATCTTCCTGCATGACACCATAGTATTTCTGCTCTCCATCCAGTGGGAGCTGGACATAAATGTGTGGTTTTTGCCTAATGGATTTCTTCAGCAGGACAAAAGCCACACATTTATGATCATCTCCCTCAGCAGTAGAGCGGAAGTGCTTCATAGGAGTATGGGAAGGTAAGCATAAATCCATTTCTATTTCATTGCTTCTCTTTCTTTTCAAATATGATAAGGCCCAGATTTCTCCGGCAAGACAAAAGCCACATGTTTACAATCGTCTCCCATGGCAATAATTGTGGAGGTGCTTCATAAGGGTGTGGGAAGGTAAGCACAAAGCTGTTTCTATCTTGCTGCCTTTTGTCTTTCTTTTGAAATGTGATAAGGCTCTCTGGCTTGAAATGTATTGAGAGCAATTGCTGAAATTGTTGAAAACCAAATAGACAATTTGGTTTTAAAGACTTGTGCAAACATATTCAAGAATGTAAAGGAGGTAAAAGGTTGAGGGGAACAACAGTATAGGTGAAAGTAGTCTATGTATGTAATTTCTAAAGGAAAGTTGAGAACATCTAGTTTATGGACTTCCACCATGCTGCAGGTATACGAGGTTCTTTTATTCTTAAATAATGGAAAAACTGAAAATATAGAAATAGCATCAGTTATTTTACTGAGTACTTGCAAATATTTGTATGGGCTTCATTTGCATACACATACAGAATTACAAGTTGAGACACAGAATAATGAAGGAACTAGGTCACCATTTATTCCTTTATTCACAAAAACTGCAGTGACAATAGCAAGCAAGTAGCAACAGCAAGTACATTTCTATACTGCTTATCAGTACACTTAAGTATTCCCTAAGTAGTTTACAATCTATAAGCTAATTGCCCTCAACAAGCTGGATACTCATTTTAGCGACATCAGAAGGATGTAAGCCGGAGTCGAGCCTGAGCCCTGGCTGGTATTGAACTCGCAACCTTATGGTTTGTGAGTGAGTGGCTGCAGTACAGGTATTTAACCACTGTGCCACAATAGAGACTGTGGTGTATAACTATCTCTTGAGCCACTTGTTAACTCCATTTCTGGGCTTGATGTTGAACTGTCCAGACTCCTGGCTTGAGGATAATTGTTCACTTCTCCTTTCCTAGCTGACATACTGTTGTAGCAATTTGAGTGCACAGATAAATCTTCTGGAAGCCTGCTCCCCTCCACTGCGAAATCACCAGCCAGTTGTTTCACTGCCCTGGAATATAACCTTCCAGCATCCCAGGAAACAGATGGGAGACAGGTTTCTCCATAGAGGCTCTTTAATTCTTCAGTTGCAATATGTACAAAGAAAAACTATATACAAGCACAAGAATAGGAACTGGAACAAAAACAAAGGCAAAGAACAAAGAGACACAGGGCCTTTGCAGACTGCTAGAAATAGTGCAAATTTAGTCCACTTTAACTGTCCTGGCTCAGTGCTAGGGAATCATGGGAATTGTATTTTTTCTGAGACATTGAGCCTTCTCTGTCAGAGAGCTCTGGTGCCACAATAAATTACAGTTCCCATGATTCCCTAACACTGAGTCAGGGCAGTTAAAGTGGACTCAATTTGCACTATTTCTGGCAGTCTGCAAAAAAAGAAACCACATGCTGAGTTCAGATTAGTTACAGACACTTGCCATGCGGCCTCAAAACCCAGCCTCTTCCTGTGACTCCTTCCTGTGTCACATGAATAGTAGTTCCCACTAACATGGTGACCTAATGTGTTTACCACTTGTCTACATGTTCCCAGACACATCCTGACCGTGAACATCTCCTGTGTTGTTTTTTATTCCAGCTGCAGACAAACTTTCCCAGCTAGCAAGCTGTAAGTGACCTGTAGTACCCTATGTCACTTTCCCACATTTGTACATGTACACGCAAGCTACATTTTCCAACACATACTTCTTTAGCTATAAGAAAGTATCTCCTGAATCACTCCCTTCTGTCAGCCCCATAGTTCCAGATAATGACTACAGATCAACTTCACATGAAACTTCTACTCCATTTTGCAGATCCCAAAGTCCTGAATAGAAATTAATAATAATAATAATAATAATAATAACAACAACAGTAGGGATGATATATGATGTAGTAGTAGTTGTGTGCCTTCAAGTAACTTCCGACTTAGAGATCCTAAGGTGAACCTATTATGGGGTTTTCTTGGCAAGAGTTCAGAAGTGGTTTGCCATTGCCTTCTCTGGGAGCATGTGACTTTCCCCAGGTCACCCAGTGGTTTCATGGCCAAGTGGGGAATCAAACCCTGGTCTCCAGAGTCAAAATAGTCCACTACTCCAACCACTACACCATCTTCTCATTTACATCATCTCAAAGAGGGAAATCCTTATCTACCAAGTATGACTGCACAGAACTATGCTAAATTGTGACCAACAAATTCCTGTTTGTGAAGTCGTAGGCTTTCATGGCTGGCATCCATAGTTTTTTGTGGTTTTTTTGGGCTGTGTGGCCATGTTCTAGATAGAAGATTTTCTTTCTGACATTTCGCCAGCATTTATGGCTGACATCTTCAGAGAATGCTGGAATGGAAGAGAGTGGGTCATAGGGATCTATTGCCCAGCAAAATGAAAGCTGACCCAAAAGAGTTCCCAGTGTAGATTAGCTGAAAACACACACATACAGAGCTAACTTGGGCAATTTGCTTGCTAGTTAAAAAAAACACACAACCTACTCAGCCCACATGTAACTGGGAAAGCTTACACTGTGGCATGATAGGCAAATGGCAACAAAGAATGAAGGTCAACCAAAATAGAGTTAACCATCAATAGAGCCATAGCCCATGTCTCCTCAGTGATATAAATATGGTGTGCATCTTCCTTTCACACAGACTGTGACCCATCCATTTTTGGGAGCCACACAAATACCAACCCAGGTCACAATTTTCACAAAGAGCAAACAAATGGGCTTGTATAACATCCACAGGGTATTTTCAGCAAAAAATTGATGGCAAGCTCTGCCCATAAGAAAACATACTTTGGTACGGAGAGCATTGTTTACAGCAAAGACTGCTAGAAAAATCCCCTTTTAGTTTTGGTTTTGAGCTTCCAAGCTCTTGTTATAAGCTATTGATTTTCTTTGGAAGATTCCCTTTGTAAGATTAATTTGCCAGAGAACAAGTGAGCCTTCTTCGCTTCCCTGAGGAATAAACCTTCTAGTTTTTTTTTCAGAAATAGCAATAGAACTAAGATGAATTACTCTTATTTAAGCTGTCAAAAAAATCCAGAATGCTTCCTTGTTCATCCTTCCAAGACCACATGTTTGAAACACAGCATTTCTGTGCAATCCAAATATAGAAGCATCCTCACAAAGAATAAACTACGTTACAGTTTTTCCTATTATCAAAACAAGACTTCTACAGTTAAATAAGGTGAAACCTCCACTCTGGTCTGGTTCGGAACTTGAAAAGTTACTTTTTGAACTGACAATCCCCAGAATTTCCCAGCCAGTTTGACCATTGGAGTTATAGCCTAAAAAAGTAACTTTCCCAGGTTCTATTTCTTTGATACTGTAAAGCAGGTTTGGGAAACTATGGGGTGAAACAGACCAGCAGTAAGAGCCTGTTTCCTGACAGCCTGGAGGTGTGGTATTCAGACAGCAGCATGCTCCCAGGCCATAGGAAAGCAGCATAGCTAACTGCATGTGCAATGGCTTCATGACGTTTCTGTGGCATGGTGTTTACATGTACTACACTGCAGAAATGCTGAAAAGCTACCACAGTGGCAGCAAAAATGCCTTTTTTTTCTGGCACAAAAAGGAACAGTTTTCTGCTGCTTCTTTTTGAGCCGGGAAAACACCGAGATGGGGCCACAGCATGCGGTTGCCAAGGCCCCAATCCGGCACACAAAGGGGCGGCAGCAAGCCATTCCTTCAGGGCCATCTGTTTTCCCACTATGTTTGGAACTATATACTTTGTAACTATAAACTAAATTGGGAAGCTGCAGATTGGCAATGGCTTTTAAGCAGGAAGGAAGGCAATACAGTAAAGATGCAGTTCTAATGGGTAGTTTGATGTAAACCAGATATTTGGACTACAACTCTCATGATGCTTTGGTCTTATGGGAGCTGTAGTGGTTTGAATGTTGAAAGATCAGAGTTTGAATCCCCACTCAGACATGGAACCCACTGGGTGACCTTGGGCAAGTCACACTCTTTCAGTCTCAAAGGAAGGCAAAGGCAAACCTCCTCTGAACACATTTTGCCAAAAAAAGTCTATGATAGGTTCACCTTAGGGTCACCATAAGTTGGAAATGACTTGAAGGTACACAACATGTCAATACACTTGATGTAAGCATTCATTTCTTTGTCCTACTGCTGTCTCTGGCACACTCTGCCAAACAGATTCTGCACACTTCTAAAGTGCTACCAAAAACCTGTAATTGGAGGTGATCCTGATGAGTGTAAACATCAAGGACAATGGTACTTCTCTCTGAGTGAATTATATTGCCTGCCTCTGACTCTGCCAAAAAGTAAATCAGTTCAATAGGCAAGTTGTGTTGCTCTCAGAGAGGGAGCACAGCTCAGTGGAAGAACATGTGCTTTGCATGCAGAAGGTCCCAGTTCAGTCCCCTGGTGTCTTCAGTTGAAAGACACAGTAAATAATGGGAAAAACCTTTTCCTGTCTGGCTGAGACCCTGGAGAGTTAGAGTATTGGGGTAGACAGCCAAACAGTATGATGCAGAATACCTATGTTTCATTCTAGCAAAATGTTAACTGCCGGGGGGGGGGGGGGGGGGGATGAAATATTTTCCCAGACACCAAAGAGAAACTGAACCATTACTGGATATCTTCCCTGCTTTATGCCTGTGTCATTGGGTAAATGTTGTTTCATGTCTAATCCTTTTGCAGTTGGAATTATTGCTTTTTTGTTGTTTCTAGCCCTGTCACAAAAAAGGTGTGTGTGTGTGTGTGTGTGTGTGTGTGTGTAAATCAAGTGTATACTCCCCTTTCTTAGTGCAGGGTTGGGCCTCTTTTGAAAGGAAAGAAAAAAAAATGTTAAAGGAAACAAATACTAAGGTCCCAAGAGGGGAGACTATTTATGGCCATGGAGGTCTACATGTGGAGAAAAAGGTCTGTTCTCCAAAGTAGCCTGGTGGCAGCCTACTGTTGATACTCCAACTGTGGAATTGGATAGAATGGCCTGAGTGGGTGTGTCATGGCAGGATTGTAGGAGATTTAGGATTTGCATTATCCAATACCCATTAATTTCCTTGACATGTCCTCAGAATGGGGTAAACACTATGCCCATCCTGAACTGAAACCAGTAAGAGAGGGGATTTATTTTAAAGGAAATGCAAATTCAAAAAAAGGAGAGAGGGGGAAGAAATAAAGAGAGAGGAGGAAAAAAAGTCTCCCCATCTTTGCTCTGTTTAGTGTGAGCCCAACAAGACTTATGACATGGTCATCCTTGCCCCATAGTTTCTCCCAGTAGTGTCACTGGGTGTGTGTGCGGGGTTGTGGGCTTCACCAGGTGATGCCCCAGAAGGGGGGGGTGATACCACAGATGGAGGGATGACACCCGATTGGTCCCCTGGCCTCCACAAGGCCTTCCTGGGGCCTTGGGCCTACTCTCCGGGCCTTCCCGGGGCCATGACCCTGCTCCCTGGGACCGTGTGCATGATTTTCCAGCAGACGCATGCTGCTGTGCAGCACGTGCACTGGAGGTCCTGCCCCCCAGGAGTCCTGCCCCCCCTCAACTGGGTGTCACCAAGTCGGAGGATGCCACTGCTCCTTTAGGACTGATCTTGATTTCTCTCCCTGCAACCTGCATGCTGAATAACATATTAAACATGTTAGCTTTTTTATTTAAATATCTTCCTTCCCACAGCAAAAATTAAAGTATTTAATTTAAGATTTATCACAAATCCCTGGAAATTCAAACAAATGAGCCAAGGTTGAGAGGAGAAAAATTCCTCCCCATCTGATTTAGATGGAAATTCTTTCCATTTCCTAATTCAGCAGTCAGTTATTAGTGATTTAGACATTCAAAAACTCCACGGTGTACCCTAGCTGTCTCTATAGGGCACATTCGTGCAGATATCAAAACACGTCAACTGGTTTGTCTTTGGCAGCAATATCCATAGTTTCATTAGCCTCCTTTCATTAAACTGGAGCAGAGTTAAATCTGCATTAATAAGGTCCAACTAATGAAAAGTAAGTGTGTGTGTGTATTCAAACCAGCTTGGAAAGCAGAGATTTAAATCTGTCATTTCTCTGATGTACAAAGTAACCTACTGAGTATAGAAGTCATTAGGTATCCATCATTAACCTTTTCAACCATTGACTCTTTGTATGTGATGGCTGATTTTTATTCATTCTATAATTTTCTGGTTGTTTTAATTGAGTTTTATAACTTTTATATAACAGGAGAATACCACCAAAAAGGACCTGGAAAGATTAAACAGCCAAAAGCAATGGATCTCCTTCTCTCTCTTAATCTCAGCATGAACACCAACATACCCCAGAGAGTGCTTTTCTCTCTTCAAGAATAAATAATTGCAGTGATGTTATTATCCATGCTTCCTTTGTTAATTAATCCATAGATCTATTTTCATTTGTTATTTTTTAATTATCGAATTCCCAGCAATTACTTCCTTTTATAGTGGTTGATAAATTGGTGAAATAAATTTTATATGACTGTCAACTAAACTAATTAGTGCAGAAGAAGAAAAGGTTCATTTCTAAGCCATCACATGATCTGCTTTACCTGCGAGCCTGAACATATGCTACCAGTTTGAACATGCATAGGTCTGTACGTGCACCCCCTTGAATGTGTAGCAAAAGGTAAGTCTGTACATGCACCTCCTTGAATGTGTAGCAAAAGGTAGCAAAAACAGAGCTAGCTACTGCAGTTCTGCTCCTCCCTATCTCCATGTTCAATTTGTACACATAAGTCCAATGAAGCATGAGCCAGTGGCACATGCAACACATTTTATTGGAACTAGGCCTAAAGTCTTAGCTGATGAAAAGTTCATTTCCATTTTGAAGTAGATTAGATAACTTCCATCTGCTTACCAACTACCTCCCCCACATAGCAGCTGAAAGTGAGGGAAAGAAAAAGGGTTTGGCAGATGTAACCCTTTCTAGGGGCATTGGGTTCTGGAATGGTCAGAGTAGATTTAAAGAAATCAGTTCACAGGGAAATGATTATTTCCCAGTAAGATAGGAATAAAAGGTTGCTACAAATACTCCCTTCCCCAGTCCTGAAAAGGCTTTTCATGTATGGCCCCAGTTGTCTCACTAAGAGTCTATGCCACTCTTTGTCTCACTAAAATTCATTAGTGAGAAGGAAATAAAAAGACTTTGCTTGATGCCCAGTGGATTATACCAGAAGAACAGGAAAGCTCTGCCCGTTTGAAGGATTTGAAAACTACCATATATACCGTGTGCACTTGCTCAGAGGCAGAATGAAAGTAAAACTAGGCCTTTAAAGCTTCAAATGTTTCTGCAGGAATTTGCTACTGATTATCATATTAGATTGTTGAAAACTTGTGGGGAAAACAAGGGCCCTTGATGTGTAAATGAAATATACAAAGAGGACACTATAGCAGGAATCCTATTGATAACATGCAAGGCATAAAGCCAGTTTATGTGATTTTAAGGTCATTGAGTGAAGAGTTATTGACTGCTGCCTTGCATAACAACCCCCAAGTACATACTGAGCTGTCACTGTCAGTGTGTGCCCCCAAAAGCCAATTATTGGCCAGGGAGATGGGATTGGGGCACCCAGGCAATGACAGCTCAGGCATTAGATCTTTATCGGGGGGGGGGGGGGGGGGGGGGATAAGGTTATCTCTGTGCATCCAGTTGAAGAAATACAGCCAGAGGTGCCTGGGTTTTCTCTGCCCTCTCCTGGCAGCAGTGACAGATTGAGGGCCTTTGCAGACTTCCAGAAATAGTGCAAATTGAGTCCACTTTAAGGGTTAGGGTTAGTGCTAGGGAAACATGGGAATTTTTTTTTCCTGAGACATTGAGCCTTCTCTGTCAGAGAGCTCTGGTGCCACAATAAAATACAGTTCCCATGATTCCCTAACCCTAACCCTTAAAGTGGACTCAATTTGCACTATTTCTAGCAGTCTGCAAAGGCCCTAAGTACATAAATGGGAGGGTGAAGGGTGTGGATTAGGCTTAGCAAAGCACTCCACCAAAAACCCATTTAAGATCATCCCTATGGATGATTACTCTATACACTCGTGTATAAGTCTAGAAATTTTAATCAAAAAATTGATCCCAAAAATATGAGTCAACTTATCTGTGGGTCAATGTAAGTACTCTACTTTAACTCTGATAAAAATAGAAGTCATCCCCTGGTGAAATGCAAGAGTGTAATCTCTCCTGGAAGAACTGACCTCTCTCTATTCTCTCATCCATCCATCCTTCAGTGTGAACACAGCTGTTCCTCCTCAGTTTTGCATGTTTTGGGCATTGTTTTCCTTTGCTTCATGCTTTAGATCGTTTGTTGTATGCCCCTAAGTTTTACCCTCAACTTATCCATTGGTCATATCAAAATCCATATTTTTGACCTCAAAACTTGCCCTAGACGTATACATGAGGTTAGCTTATAGTCGAGTATATACAGTAGTTGTCAGTAGTCAAAGCAGCTAAGTTTTAAGAAGCAAAGAGATATTGGTACACAATCAGTTTCTGCTTGCTTCAGTGGAATGGGTTGTCATTAGATTTCACCTCTTGGCTATGGCACCACTGGATAACTGCTTTATTTACATCTAGATCACTATAAGCTACCACTCAAGAGTGGCTATTGACCATTCATTAGATGGGAGCAAGGGTAATTGTCTGTGAATGGTTGCTGCAACCAGCATCTAATACAAGTGATACATGGCAACTGTTGTAATTCTATACACACCTTTTGGGGAGCAAGTTTCAAACTTCTGAGTAAATATAGATAGAGATGGGGTGAACATGCCTCAAGGCACAGACCAAGCTTAAAAGAGTTGTTTTGGGCATGCTTAAGGGCTTCTGAATATCTACTGAGAGTTTTTAAAACTATATTTATTTGGAACTTCCTTCCTCCATAGTGAAAGAATAAACTATGTAAAGTTTTCAAATGAAAAATTCAAGACACATAGGAATAAGAAAAATATGTCTTTCCATCTCAGAAATTATATTGCAGCAGCTAGCTTCACTGTTGGCATTGACACTCACTGCCCTGGATGAAAGAATGCTTCCTGAATGTTCTGGTTTGGCTGTCACCATTAGCAACATCTGGCTGACATTAGAGTAGTTGTGATATAGAAATGGAACATGATATGGAGGTGAAAGCTGTTAAAACATGATTGGTTGGGAGGACTGCAAGAGAAAGTAACACTTCTGTCCCTCCAAGGCCATAGTGACTTTCTCCTTCCAGAAAAGGTGGAGTGAAAAAGAAACACGACTATTGTGGAAGCCCAAGAGAAATGAGCCTCAAAGGCAGCTAGCCACATGAAGCCTAGCAGGATGAGTCTTGCAGTGCCCCAGGAACTCTGCTAGCTCTAGCTTCCTGACAGTCTCCTTCCACCAAACAAAATGGGAACTGAGCTGGGGCTGGCTGGCCTTTCTGAAAAGACTACCATATAATTGTTTCA